CGGATCCCACATACAGACCGGTTCCCGCTCACTGGCTGAGCGAGGCGCGGGAGTAACACCGAGGGTTGCGATCCCGTTGCCGGTCCTGGTCCGGTACGGGGGCGACACTGAGGGTTGCGATCCGTTGCCGGACACGGAAAAAGACAAAAAAAGGAAAAAAAAAAATTTTTTTTTAAGTAGATATGTATTTCTTGAATAATAATAAATCGGTAAGATACCTACTAATTTCTTCACGAGTCATCCATTTGCTATTACTTTGCATCCATGTGAGTTTTTCTTTAATTATTATCCTAACAGAAAAACCACTCTTTATTTTCAAATCATAGAGTTCAGTAAAGAGTGCATTCCATTCATTAAATATATTCTAGTAGTAATATGTGTCTTGCTTTGTTGCACTTCCAGAGAAAAAAAAATCCTTTCAGTCAACCCTACTGCCCTTACTCCATAGTAGTGTTACTTAAGGTTTGTACAGCACGACATTTACAATACGCTTTCTTTACACTGCTTCCATGCATGCCCTAAAATGACATACAGTAGAGTATTCACAACCCCTCCTAGGGATGAACAAACAGTGATTTTACCATATAAAAGAAGGGAACATGTTCTCTCTTAGTCTCCTGCCCACAGCAGCCACCAAGCTCCCCTGCTGCAGAGCCCAGGAGGCTTGGGATGGCCCGGCTGTGGAGGCACAGGCTGGAGGCTGGATACAGCAGGACCAGTGCCTGTTTCTCCAGAACCGCTGTTCTACTGCTTAGGGAACAGAGTGTCCTAAGAGCTACCTTCCCCTGACAAAGCGTGGTCCTGTGTTTGCTGTTTGGCTCCTTTCCTGCTAGAAATATCTGCCAGCATCCTGTTAACTTTTATTTCTTGAAAGAGTTGCTCCTTGCAAGGCATTTATTGACCCTCAGAGGAGTTAGCTTCAGTACAGTGTCGATAGCAAGCACCACGGTGCTTGGCAATATAGAAGTGTTCTTCTGGGCCGGCCCGGTGGCGCACTGCTGTATTGCACTGCTTGGGAGCGCGGCGGCACTCCCGCCGAGGGTTCAGATCCCACATACGGACCAGCCGCTCACTGGCTGAGCGAGGTGCGGGCGCAACACCAAGGGTTGCGATCCCGTTGCCGGTCCCGGTCCGGTACGGGCGCGACACTGAGGGTTGCAATCCGTTGCCGGTCACGAAAAAAGACAAAAAGGAAAAAAAATATATATGTATATATATATATATAGAAGTGTTCTGCTGGGCCGGCCCGGTGGCGCTCTGCTGTATTGCACTGCTTGGGAGCGCGGCGGCACTCCCGCCGAGGGTTCAGATCCCACATACGGACCAGCCGCTCACTGGGGGGGGGGGGGGGGCGCAACACCAAGGGTTGCGATCCCGTTGCCGGTCCCGGTCCGGTACGGGCGCGACACTGAGGGTTGCAATCCGTTGCCGGTCACGAAAAAAGACAAAAAGGAAAAAAAATATATATGTATGTATATATATATATATAGAAGTGTTCTTCAAAAAGTTCATGGAAAGATTCATGTTATCTTTTAATTTTATTTTTCCACAAACTTGAACTACCCTGGTATTACACTGATGGGGGAGATCTAGGATTCATGTAAAGGTCCTTCCTGTTATCTGCAGCAAGTCACCACCTGAACTTTCTTGTCATCTTTTATAACTGTTGCACTGCATGGAACCCATGCTTAGTAGGAATGTGGAGCTAGTCATCCTTTGTTCAACTGTGTACTGAGGGCCTGCTGCATACTCCACAGGCTGTGTTAGAATCCACCTCTAGGTGAACATGAAATGGCTCTTGACCCAGGGAGTTTTAAGCCATGAAGTTTTGATCCTTCAGCTAGTGTGGATGCTGAGTCTTTTCCATTCGAAGTCACCCTTGTGTTCTCTCTCTAGCCCAGCCTCCACTTTGCACTGGTGCAGTAATTCTTCCTACAACATCCTTGCTGCCATATTTGGCTTCTCTGGAACTCCCCTGGAGTGGACAGATCACCGTGTAGTGAGGCAGCTCTGGTTATTATAGTTCCTTAAACCTAGAGCTAAAAATTACTGCCTTCTGACTTCTGTCCCTTTGGTTCACATTCTATCTTCCTGGAAGATACTGGTCATTTCTTTCCAGAGTCCGATCTCTCATAGACTATGATTTGTAATAGGCTCCTTGCCCTCCAGGAGATTTCAGTGTCAAGTTCTGTCTGCCACGTATCCTGTGACTGTGACTGATTGAGGTCCAGCAGTAGGCCCTGGGGCAGCATGAGTTTTGCTGACAGCCACTCCCTGTCAGGCCCTGTCAAACCTTCATTCTCTGAAACTGAAGGTGAGAGCGGCACAAGGTCATCTGGACAGCAAAGAACAGAATGCTTACATGCGCTTGAGGGGGATCGGAATGGCTTCGTGGACAGGGTGGTCTTTGAGATAGATCTTATAAGAGCTCAGAGAGTTTAGCAGAGGTTGGTCTTTGAAGATACAGGGAAAGAGGCTTTATGTGACAGGCCCAGAAGCAAGAAGATAGTGGGAAATTTTAAGATGTGGGCATTTATCTACTTATGCTTCAGAGGACATACTGTGCAGAAGTTTAAATATTGGAACCTGGTATTGTTTTCAGTAGGCCATGGGAAGCTGAAGATTTGAGGCTTTTCTCGCTTAGGGATGTGTTAGGAGGGATAGATTTAACGGTAGAGGGTGTGTTAAAAGTGAAAAGACCAGTTAGGAAGCTTCATGCTGGGCTGGACCATTAGCATCTCATCCAGGGGCACACACAGGTATCATTTTCCTCACATCTTCACCTGCACTTGATATTATCATCTTTTCAGTTTTGCTAATTTCATCTTGGGTATGAATTGGTTTTTCATCATTTTAATTTGCATTTTCCTGATTACTAATTAAATTGAGCATATTTTCATATGGCTATCAGTCACTCCTTTTGCCTCTTCTAAATATTCGTCTTTATTTGTTTTATTTGTGGAAGGTTTTTGGTAGGGGGGCGGGGGTTTGGTTTTTGGCAGCTGGCCTGTACAGGGCTCTGCACCCTTGACCTTGGTGCCTTGGTGTTATCAGTGCTGTGGTCTATCCAAGTGAGTCAACCAGCCAGCCTTGTTTGTGGGAGCTTTTTTAAAAATGCATTTTAGTACTAATCTTCTGACTTTTCAAATATTTACATGTATCTTCTCCCAGTTTGTCCTTTATCCTTTAATCTTATTTATAATGTCTTTTTTTTTTTTTTTAAAGTTTTAAATTTCGAAGTAGTCAAGTCTATAAATCATTTCCTTTATGGCTTGCTCTGTTGTTAGCTCGTTTAAGAAATCTTTCCCTGTCCTAGGATAATAGAGTTCCTAATGCTTTCTTCCGATATCTAGCATTTTAATTTTCAAGTTTAGGCCTTTTTTCTGTATTGGATTTATTTGGGAGCCTGGTGTGAGATAGGAATCTGATTTTATTTCTCTCCAGCCAAAGGTCAGTTGGATAATAAGCCCTTTCTCTGTTGATTTGTGCCACTTCTATTATATACTCTCACACCTGCCGAGGTGTCTTTCTGGATTCTTCTCTTCCATTGACTAATTTGTCTATTCCTGTGCCAATACTGCATGGAATTAATTAGCATAGTTTTGTGGTATGATTGATACCTGGTAGGGAAGTCTCCTATCTTTTTCTTTTGATTTTACTTATGTTTGAAGTTATCTTGCCAATTTATGTCATTACTCTCTGTTATGAGTTTTAGAACTAGTTGGCCAAGTAACCAAAGTGCTCTTGGGTTTTTTTATTGGAATTGCATTGAACTAATAGAATAAGTTTAAAAGAACTGACATCTGTACAGCATTGAGTTTCCTCATCCATCCATGAATGAGGTATTTCTTTTCTCTCTATTGATTCAGACCCTTTTGCGTTCTTCAATGAAAGGTTGTAATGACTCGCGCTTTAGTTTCTTTTTCATTTGTTGAAATGTCTAATATTTAGGTTCCGGACAGCAGAAGAACTCTACAGTAATAAAAACAATAGTAATGTAATCATGTTTTAAAGCAGTTTGGGATTCTATTAGGGTTGGTAGGATGGAGAGTACTTACTAGCTTTGGTTTTCTCTTGGTGGATAACTTTCCTTCCTGTATCAACTGTAATTCATACATGTGTCGTCTGCCACTGGCAAAGTCCTTGAAGCATGCTCTGAGAGCCTCCTTCCCTTTGTTGATGTTCATTCCATCAGCCCTTGGTTCAGCACATGTTCACCAATCAGTAAATCCACTAATTCCGTCATGCCTATGTATTCTCTACCCACAGTGAAATTAGGAAGTTTTGTCAAGTGCTTTGCTTCAATTAAGACTCATTTTATCTATGGCATATTCCTTTCCTGATGAACGATTCTTGTTTCTTAAGATCACTTTTCGTATTTTACCAGCAGTCTGTATCTAGGTTTTCCATCTAGCATTATGGGAATCATCTCCCCCACACACATATTTGCCCATATCTAATCTTCTCACGTTTTCCCCATGCTGTGTGATTTCTCATAATTTGCTAAAGTGACAGTAGATTCGACCTCTGACTTTCCAACAAAGTGTTTGATCACATCAGCATTTATATTATTATATAAACCCATTCCTGCTCACAAAAAAAAAATACAGTTTGTAGCAATACTACGAGCCAGTGTTCAGACCCACTTAAAAACCAGCATTACCTATTAGGCAACTCCTGACATATAGACCATTAACAAGCATAGTGTAAACTGCATTTTAAAAAATTCTACAGTGGCTAAAAATGGTGAACTAGATAAGCAGTCTCTAAATTGGCTGAAGATCTAAGGCTTCTTATTTGCTAGTTGACATCTGATCTGAAAATTTCATTGCTTTAAATGTGCTAGAAATAGAGAAGAGGCTTTGCTACGAATGCCCCATTTGCTGGGGAGGGTCTCTGGTAGGGAATTTTTAGCAATTACAGAAGATCTTCCTAAGCTTTCTCTTAATTCTTTAACCAGATTAAAGCTAACAATTGTATTGTCATTTGTGTTTCTGCAGCTTCCAATTGTGAAAAAGATAAGAACCATTGCCCAAGCTGTCTATGGAGCCAAAGATATCGAACTCTCTCCTGAGGCACAGTCCAAAATAGATCGTTATACTCAACAGGTAAAATTACACTTTTAGGAGAAAAAACCCACCTGAGGCTCTCCAAATACAGTAATCCCCCCTTATCCACAGGGGGTACATTCCCAAGACCCCATCAGTGGATTCCTGAAACCATGAGGATAGTACTGAACCTTATATCTGCTATGTTTTTTCCTGTACATACATGCCTATGGTAAAGTTTAATTTATAAATTAGGCACAGTAAGAGATTAACAGTAATAACTGATAATAAAATCAAACAATTCTCGCAATATGCCAGCATCACTACTCTTGCAGTTTGGGACCATTATTAAGAAAAATAAGGGTCACTTGAACACAAGCACTGCAATACAGTGACAGTCAGTATGATAACCTAGATGGCTACTGAGTGACTAAAAAGCAGGTGACATCTACAGTGTGGACATGCTGGACAAAGGGATAATTCACATCCTGGGCAAGATGGGCTGGACTGTGTAAGATTTCATCACGCTACTCAGAATGGTACACAGTTGAAAACTTATAAATTGTTTATTTCCAGAATTTTTCATCGTGGTGCGGGCGTGACACTGAGGGTTGCCATCCCATTGCCGGTCGCGGTACGGGCGCGACACTGAGGGTTGCGATCCCGTTACCGGTCACGAAAAAAGACAAAAAGGAAAAAAAAAAAAAGAACTATCATTTATTCTAATATTAAGTCTTTCTCCTTTTTTTTAGTCTTAAGGTGTTCTTTCTTTTATGAAATAATGTGGCAGTATATGATATATTGGTGGGGTTTTTTTTTAATATCCCTACTAGCAAAATTTTTAAATTGGCAAACCTGTATCAGTTCATAGAAATTATTTCAATATTTTACTGGTCTCTGAAATTCAAGATTCTGGATACCATTTCTATAAAGCAGTTGTGATTTTTTTTTCCCCTCAGCAAAATTCTTATCCATATGTAAAAGTAGAGATTTCAAAAAGAGAATGTCCCCACCCCTACCCCCAATTGATAATACTCTGAAATATTCCAAATAGTTTTAGGTTGAATCATAAAGCATTCTACATGGTTACCTCTGAAGATTGCATTCCTTTTATCTCTGTCTATCAAGGGAATATTCCTTAAAAGTTGTGTGTCAAGTATGTGGTTGCAATTAATTAGCAAAGTCTCTAAAGGAGCACTCTGTGCCATTTAATCAGAATCAGGCTTTGAGGATACTGTCCTTTTTGTGAAACATCACATCTGACTTCCTGCCCTTTCACCTTTGGAACTCTGGGTCAGGCATAGACTTTGGTCCTTAAAAATAAGAGGCTTAAATAGTGACCTCATCTTAGTTCCTATAATATAATTGCAGATCAAATAGCCATGATTCATAAACTAACACAAAGGGGCTCTTTGCTTCCTGACTGACTCCAAGAATAAGTGAGCAACATGACTAAAACCCTCATTACAGAGCCTTTCTCCAGATTACCTTGCTGGGTCCCGGATATTAATAGCCTTGGAAAGTGGTTTCTGCAGCTGCTGCTGCTGCTGCTCTTAAAGAGAACCTCCAGAATAAACAGTGAACCCTCAACCTGCTAAATAGTGATCACAGGGAGATGAGTTTTTGTCCTCAATTTCTTGCTCTACGAACAAGTAGTAATAGCAGCTACTTTGTGTACTGTTGCTGCAGAGATTATATGAAGGGCAGATTAAGCAAGTACCGTAGACTAACTTTTATATCAATGAACACATTTCCTTTTCTTTCTTATAGGGTTTTGGAAATTTGCCCATCTGCATGGCAAAGACCCACCTTTCTCTCTCTCACCAACCTGACAAAAAAGGTGTGCCGAGGGATTTCATTTTACCTATCAGTGATGTCCGGGCCAGCATAGGCGCTGGGTTCATTTACCCTTTGGTCGGAACGGTGAGTGAGTGACATTCTCCCGAACCCCTTTCCATACTGTGTTGTCACAATGCCTAAAATCGTTATTCTCCTCCACCTTTTTGCAAATCATGTATTAAGGAGTAGTCAGTAGTATTTGCTATTTTTCTAAACACTCTCTCCCACTAAAAAAAGAAAAGAAAAAACACCTTGGCCATTGCAGTTTGGGTCTTTCTTTTTTTAGATCATGTGTTCAGGATTCGTAGAGTCGTAAAACTGATTTCCCTCCTAAGACAAGGAAGAGAATAACTTGGGAGAATTCAGTTGTTGTTTAGATGGTAGGCTGGCTTAGTGCAGCGCTTCGTGACGTTCATCACATCACGGCACTCAAAATGGTAACATCCTACCACTGTGGGGCTCAGACCGGACAGTACCAGGCCAGCCGCCCAAGGGCTGGGGGTATCGGCGCCTTACCCTCTACACATCAGGTGGGAAGCTCTGGCTTAGAAAACTTGCAAATCACATGAGCTCTCATTTTTGACATTGTTGCAAGGGGACTGCATTGCTGTAGGATGATGACTGTGTTATGTCAGGTTACCTGTGGGAGGAAGGGAGATAAGCAGAAAAATAAAAGCTTATCAGAGCATTTAAAATCCATGATGAGGGGCTTCATTATAGCCATACAATAAAAGCTTTCTCGTGGTACCCATCAGTGGCCTAAATTTAACTTCTAGTCATGAGAGCAGTCCTGGCTTAGGTTTAGAATGAAATAATTCTAAATCATCATCATCATCATCATTATCATAATTATTACTGTTATTATTACAAACTGATCTGAGCCCAAACAAAACATTATAAAAATTTTTTATGATACAACATGTGGGTCTATTATGCAAACAAGGAACGGATAGGCAAAACATGCAGAATTCTTGCCTTGATATTTATACGTTTCATCTCATATTGGGCAAATGTTTTCAATAAGCATTTGTTGAATCTTTCGTGCACATGAGGCGTGGGAATACCAGGAGGAGCAGGTGTGAGAAGCACAGGTTTACACAGGACAGGGAAATCGGGAGAGTGCTGTGTGGGCATTCTGAATGCCTGCAGAGCGCAGTGGAGGCAGCAGCTTCTTCTACCTGGGGAAGGGGGTGTGGAAGGAGAGGGGACTCGAGAATGCTGCATAAAGGGCTTCATCGGGAGAGTGCTGTGTGGGCATTCTGAATGCCTGCAGAGCGCAGTGGAGGCAGCAGCTTCTACCTGGGGAAGGGGGTGTGGAAGGAGAGGGGACTCGAGAATGCTGCATAAAGGGCTTAGTCTCTGAACTGGAGAAACAGAGTGAGTTTCTACTCAAAGGAACAGAAGTACATGGTGTCCCTCCCCAGGGTGGTCCAGTGTGGCTAGAGTTGGACAGGAGCAGGAGGCTGAGAAATAGATTGGGATAGCAGGACAGGATCTCGAATGCCATCTCAAGGAACTTGGATTTCATCCTATGCGCACTATAGGGGAACCACTATGGGATGGGGTTCTTCTGTTTCTTGGAGTTTTTTATATGTATATGATGAAGTAGAATGTGGTCTGATTTATATTTTAGAAAAATAGCTCTGGCAGCAGTGTAGAGAATGTGTAGAGGACAGGTAGACTCAGGGAGACAAGTCCAGTGGGCTGGGGCCAAAGGTAATCAAAGTTGGCACTGCAGTCACAGACATGGATATGCAGAGTGGAGGTGAATTTGAGACATATTTTAAAGGTAGCCACCTGCAGTGGGGATCAGGGGAAAGGGGCCGTTCTAGCTTGGAGACTGGATGGTGATGAACACAGGGCGAGGCAGATTGGCAGGGCCAGTAAGGAGGCTGGCGTGGAGAATTAGAAGGGTTAAGAGGATATATAAAATAGTCTGTGCCTTCATTAGAAATATAGACACAATGCTCAGAAGAAAGGGACGGGACGGAGGACCGCTGAGTTTTTAGACTATAGGTGAAGGCAGTCATTAAACAAAGGGACAAACAAGGACAGTAGACAGCAGTGAGCAGAGAGTAAAGGAAGATACTGTAGGAAAACAGGAGCCTTCCAAGGAGTCAGAAACGAACGACAAAGGCACTGCAGGGAAAATCCAGGGGAATGCCACAGAAGCCAGGCACGGAATTTCCAGCTGGGGGAAGGGGTAGAAAGGGTGTTGATACAGCGAGAAGGGTTGGAATAAAATGGGTACTGAGTGACGTTTTCAGGTATACAGTTCAGAGCCGGGGTCGCCAGGAGTTGGGGGTCAGGGGAGGGGCACAAGGGAACTTTTTGGGGTTATGGAAATGCTCCATATTTTGATTGTGGTGGTGGTTCCATGACTGTATACTGCATGTCCAAACTCATAGATCTGCACACCTAGAAAGTGAATTTTATTGTGCGTTATTTAATTATACCTCAAGTCACAAAAACATGGGTCCCTTCATCTGAGCATTAAGAAGAAAAATCAAAAAAAGGATAGTGAAAAGAGCTTGCTGTATTCCTTAGAATGGCCTCGGTGGTGGCCGTTCCCCTCCGGGGCTTTGTCGGTGAAGGCCTTGGCTTAGGAGTAAGAGGACAGTTGAGTGGTGCAGGCAGATTAGACCACCAGGAGAGATGGGGGTGACAGGAGTACCCGAACAGAACCTGAAGCTGTGGGCATGGCGAGGGGAGGAGGGGAAGGTTAGCCTACTCCATAGTGTATCCTGTCTTGCCCTCTGCAGATTCAAAATCCTGCAGTAGTTCACCCAGCAGATTCATTCATTCGTTCGTTCAGCTAGTGTGCATACGGCACTCTACCCCGTGGAATGGGGAGCCCAACCTCAGGAAACATTCTCTGCTTCGGGCAGCTTACAGCTGGTAAAGGCAGATAAAAGTGAATTAACAAAGAAGATGGTTTAGTGTAGAAATTGTGAATTTGATATCTTAATTCCTTCTGAGCATTTAATAGTCATTAAATAAAAATAACAATATAATTTAAAATCTTGGGGGTCACAAATATGTAATGTGAATCTCCTTCCACCCCAGCTACCAGCACCACATCCATCACCAGGTAAAGACCAAAGCGATTCTGGAAAATCAGAATTCCATCCGCGTTGGCTTGTGTCTGAACACTAGGCTGTTGTATGCTCTGACGTCACTCTTTGACCTATGACTAGTTAGAAAATGAATGTGTGGAATGGCCCTGGAGGTTTCCTCATGCAAGCCCTCTGCGCCACTATCTCGTCTCCGCAGCGCTCAGCCAAGTTCCTCCCGTGGCCACACACAGGGTCACGGGAGCGTCGGTGCACTGCGATGAAATCCGCCTGAACAATTGGGTGTGAGGCGCACGGAAGGAAGTGGTGCCTGACTAAAGGAGTTCCTGGAGGTCAGAAAACTGTCACTTGGAGGTGGTGGCCTTAGAGGGCTGCTTTCTGTGACAGAGCAGGAAACTGTGTGTGGTTCAGGGCAGAGGCACCAGCAGAGGCCAAGATCTCCTAATAAGGGCTGGTATTTACTTTTACTTGACCCCGTTCTGGGCCCTGCCACAGTCTGCTGAAATGCTTGTAATATTCATCACCCGTGTGGGAGACAGTGTAGTAATTTCCTGCTGAGATGACCGAGGGAAGGGGAATGGGGACACTGCAGGGACTGGCTCCTGCAGGTGGGAAAATCCTAGCATAATGATTCACTGTGATGCTTAGTCACCCAACATGTGCTCATCAGAATGCCATTGAAATACACATTCATCTTTCCACTCCAGAGATTCAGTCCAAACTGGGACCTCAAAATCAGAAGGGTTCTCCATTCTTCTGCAGTGTTCATTTGTTCATTCATTCATTCAGCAAGTCATTATTAAATACCTATGGCATGCATGGCCATAAACCACATGGAGATGATCAAGATCCAGTCCTTCCCTCATAAGCCTTATGATAGACTCTAGGAAGTAAAACCATACAAGTACGGAATGCTGTGGGATTTATATCAAAGGGAGAAATCTTCTCGGTATGTCCTTATGGGAGGCAAAGAGCCCCTCTCCCATCTGGCTACCTCATAGATCTAAAAGTGGAGGATCCCAACACAAGCACGTCCCTCCTCCAACAATAAACATCTCCAGCGTTCCTGACTTTGGGAGATCACGTGGTGAAATGCTGGAGAGGTCAGCTTTTCCCCCCCTCCAGGTTTAGCTTTCTAAATATTTACTTTTACTTTTCATCTTTACTTGTAGGCCAGATTTTTTCTACCATTGGATTATTTCATTATGTTCTATTTAGTTTTTGCTTTAATTGATGTTGGTCAACGCAATCAAATAATATTAATAAATACCATCCACTCATGGCTTCCCTACTATTTCACTTCCCTGTGCTGTTTTTACAGAAGCAGCCAGTACGTGGATTCCTCAGCTCATGGAAACTAAGACCTTTGCTATTATTCTTACATTCATTGGTAGCGTTTTCCATATTGCATTAAGGTAGCTAATTTTTCCTTCCTAAAGTAACTTTCTTTGTTCCTAGTAAGCTTCATATGCCATTATACTTACATATTCTTTCCAGCATATTAATGAAAGCTAGGAAATAGTACATGATTCTTGAACAGCAGGCCACCACTTTATGCATCTTTTTGAAAGAAATAATTTATCAAATACAGATCTCTGATGAGAGAAGAAAAGAACAAGTTGTTTTTTTTAAGATTTTCCAACCATATATTCTACATATTACCCTGTTTATGGTATGTTTCCAAAATTCTGTGAAAGCTTATGGTCTACAGTGTTCAATAAACCTAGTAGTTTATAAAACTTCTCAAAAAACAATGTCATGCCAAAAAAAAAAAACTTTTAGTAGGTGGTCTTTATTTTGTGGTCACACCGTTAAGTTTCTATAATTTAGAAAGACTGTTTAATCATTTGGCATAAATTTTGTGACATAAAAGTACAAATATGTAAGCAGAGTAACCAAATATGTAACCAAAACCTTAACATTGGGCACTGATGTTCTCGGTAGCTTTTTTTCTTCTCTTTACTTTTCTATACAGTTCAGATTACTACAGTGGGCATGTGTCACTTTTAT